TCCCCCCCCCGATGGCGCGCGCCTCACTTTGGCGCCAAACGCACGGGCCGGGGGCGGGTCCTGCCGACGTAACGGCGGCGAGCGCGCGGCGCGGCCGCGGTCGTTGGCTGGAGCGGCCGCTGGCCACGCCCCCTCCGCCCGGCCTGCGGCACCCGCGGCGGCGGCAGCGGCGGCGAGTTCGGTGAGTGCTCCGGCCCGGCCGTGCCCTACCCTGCATGGCTCGGCTCGGCTCGGCTCGGCTCGGCGCGGGCATGCCCACTCCGGGCACAGCCTCCCCCCCGGGCCGCCGGGGGTTGTGGTGGGGCCCGCGGCGGAGGTCCCGAGCGTTTCCGCCGTGGCGGGAATTGGAGCCCCCTTCCCGCCCGTGGAGGGAGGGCGAGGCCTGAGGAGTGAACATGGGGCCGCTGGCTCTGGAGTGCTCCTGACGGCTGCTCAGCGCTGCTCCGCGCCTTAGCCATTTCCCCCTTCCCTCCTCGCACCCCCCCGCCCCGCGCTGCCCCTAATCCTGCCCCCTCCTAACCCCCCATCCTGCTTCCCCACCCCGCCTGCCGGCGCCCTCTGCTCCTTACTGGTTTGACTGGCAGTACCAGGCAAGGGGAAGTTGCTCTTAAATGATAAACAGAGAAAAAAATCGTGATTATCGAATCAGACTGTTTTAAATGGTTGAGATGCACCTTCAGGTAACCTAATCATAGCATGCGGTGCTTCTTTTTCATATCAAAATTTTCTTTATAGAAGCTATAAGATACAGCTAAATGTCTTCAGAATGCTTATTGGAAGAACAGATAATTTCATACTTGAAAGTGCGTTTTGTTCTCTCAAAGTACGAGTTTTCTCTTGGTCTTGGTGTTCTCTTGGATTTTATTGAAGAAGAAAGGCCAGGGGCAGCTGAGGTGTAAATGTCTTATTTCCAAATGCTCCTGGTTTATGTTGTTATTCTGAAATTGCTAGTTAATCGACTTTCTTTGCTCTGATGTTTTGCTTGTAGATGGGGAAGCCATAAGGAGTCTGTATCATGGCAGCGGATGAGGATGGACTGGGACTGTTTGATATCCGCTACAGTGGTGAGATGTGTTGGATTACTTTCTGGATTGCAGGGAATTAGTGCAAGCAGACTTATGAAAATAGATAGGTCCAAAAATAACTTTAAATTTAAAGTTGAGGCAAATACTAATGAGCTTCAACTGTAATTAAATGGCTGTGGCAAAGTATCATTTTAAGCTTCAACCCATTAGTAAGTTTGTGTATAAAACCATAACTGTGCATTTTGGATTTCTGGAATGTTTTGAGGGAGTGTCTGGGATTGGTCTCTCCCCTGTGTTTCATGGTGTATAAATTACCATTTGCTGTACCTTAGTGAAGATTGCACATGAACAGTTAGGGGAACTGCTCTTTTGTCTGCCGCTGGTAAGAGCGTATGTGTTATCATCTGGTTAGCAAGGTGCTCCAGCATTATTTCCAGCTCCACAGATGGTTGATTTGACACATATTTATGAGATCCCCGGCCTCAGAAGGACTGTGGATATCGACATATTTCTTTATAGAAATAATGTTTGTTGCAGAACTGGAGAGGTTCACATAGAGGAGACGAGAGTCATAAGAGGCATTGGAAAAAGACATGAAGAGAGACTGAGGAGATTTAGATTAAAATACGTTTACAGAACCAGTTAGTGTGTGAGTAGATGGCAATACTAAAGCAAATTGTTTGAATTATGA